CTAACTGTGAACAAATAAGCCCACTGATATTGGTCTTTTTTGGGCCCACTACATACTTCTTACCTTCCTATTCCTATCGCCATGTCGAAATATACATCCAAATAGACTGTCGCTAAAACTCAGTTTAAGAGTGAGATTTCAAAACAAGGCATGACCATCAACTAACCTTTTTCACCAAAGCGCACAGCGCTAAACACTAGATAACAAAATCTGGAGAGTGAATAAGAAAAGGAGACCCAGAAACATATCGCATTAAAACGTTTATTTTGACAGTATAAAATGTCGGTGATCAGCCTCTAGAAAAAAATTACAAAGCTCAACGGCATGGTCCAGCTCCTTGATTCTCACACTTTCAAGACTCGATGTGAAACCATGTTGGATCTATATAAAAATGACACAGACATAATCATCAATTTTGCAGTCCTAACGATCCAATAAAAACCCTACTTCGAGAAATGTGATTACCAACCATAACTTGGAATTCACTAGACGGCAAGAAATTCCACTTACAATAATTTAGGCAAGAGAAATATTGCCATCATTATCCGCCCTCACCACGTCCAAGCTAGTGTCTAAATTGCCATCCAATCACCTAAACGCCCTACTGCTAACCACTCTGAATGCATATATAAGCTGCATCTGTGGATACCGATATAAAGACAGATTTATATACCCTCCCAGTAATTTCTCTGAAATGAGAATTTTTTACCGTCAGTTCATAAAGTTTCAGGACACGTGACAAGGATAGTCATAAAGATTACGGACGATTGACACGGCGGAACACGCTGGTTCTTTCTTCCCTTAATAAAATACAAAAACGAGCCCCTACTAAGAGGAACACGTGCAACAGCAAGCGATTTATGATAATGTTAACTTTCTCACCACCAAACCCGAAAAAACCTATCATGCATGAGATTCTTGCCTCACTTTCATCTTCCAAGAAGCAAGAAATTCAGTCCTAGGTCACCGCCCACACGAATCTATCCGCACAAAGGTAAGGCACCCACGGATGGCCGTCCGTGGCCGCTCATGTCCTAATTACGATAACCTGGCCAAGAATAGTCCTTGAACGCCGCACGCATCGCGAGCCAGAGAGATTAACCTAGTCAAGGGACGGCACTCCCGGACCAACCATACTGATTTTTGCTAAACCATCCATTCACTCGCACCAAAAGATGCTAAATTTCAAAACCCAAAACTCGGAAAAACCGCGCCGCGCCTAACCCTAACTAGAACAGAACAACAACCTCTACCCCCCCATCAACCTCGCTGTCAACCACCGCGCCTCCCCTCGCCGCGAAATCGAGCCCCGCGAGCACGCACCCTCTCGAACCGAACCACACTACAAAATTCACCCGCCACTACCCCTCCTCCCCCCCCCACCCACACCCCGTCGGCAAACCCAACAGGAGCCAACCGAAATAACTAACCCCCCCACACGCAACGCGAGGACGGCGAAAGCGAGCCCCTTTCGCGGGGGGGGCGGGGGGGCCGCAATTCGAAAGGAATGCGGACCTTCAAGAGCTTGGCGAGCGCGTCCTTGGAGGGAGGTGGGGACTCGAGCTTGGATCCGAGCTCCTTCAGCTGCTGCTCCAGCTTCTGACCCATCTTCTCTTCAACTTCCCTTCCTTGGGACCCGGAGGAATCCGAAAGTCGCGGCTCCTCGTCGTCCCTCCGTCCGTCGTCCCTAGGGCTTCGGGAGGTGGAGCTGGCTCATGGGGCTCCCGGGAGCAAAGGAACGAGGGAGGCGAGCGCTCGCAGCAGTCGTTAGTTGTCGTGTCCGAGCGCCTGCTCCTCTCTCTCTCTCCTCTTCTCTCTCTAGGTGGGGTGGTTTTCGAACAGGGATGCGAAATGAGCTCGAGATGCAAGTGAAATTGAAACTCCGGTGCTCGCTGCTTGGGCCCGATGACTTCACACCCCCCCCCCCCCCTCCCCCCCACGCGCGCACATGTTTATCTTGCGGATTTTGCTGACGTGCCCCTCTAGTCCTCGCTAATTGCGCTCGCGCCCCTCGGGAGCTTCTGCTCCTTATTTTCGCCCTGGTCCCTACCCTTTGACAAGTTCTTTTTTGGCTCGGAGATCGTCCGTTCACAAAAGCTTTTATCTGATTCGCGAAAAATGAATGATATGTAGAACATTTTCCTAAAATATGATCGCCCTTGTCGCTTGAGATGGTTAAGTCAATAGAAAATATTTTCCTTATTGATGACAATTTATGTTTGAATGTTTTTGTGAACGGTCATTTTTTGCTAACAATACAAAAGATCATTTTCAGAAAAATATTTGTTGAGTCGTTTAATTTTTGCTGAACAAGTGGAGCCTTATTAAATCCCCGGCGTTTAATACTTTTGACTAAGCGACCTAGATTGGTAACGTGGTTCTTACGAAAGAGGATGTCAAATCAACCTCTACTTTGGTGAATTGAATGAATACCCATTTCGAGCAAATTCATATATTGGAAAGGAAATAATGCATGGCAAATGGAAAGTTCTCCACCTCTACTTTGGTGAATCGAATTTTGAAGTTTTGCCTTCTGTTGCTTTAACTTTCATGTCGTTTGAAAAAATAAAAAAACTCCTAAAATCGCAAGCAAAGCTGGTTTTCGATGAATTTGTGAATTGTTAACCACTTTGAGATGGCGTGGCTGGTTGGTGCGTTCGAGAAATTCTAGCTCTAAAAGTCACACGTTCAAATTCCACTAAAATACGGGTATACGCACTAAAAGTCCTAAAATTTATCACGAAAGTGCAATTAAGTTCTAAAATTTATAAAAAGTGTAGTCGAGTCTTAAAACTTGTCAATTTGGTCAAGTCCTAAAGTCAATACCGTCTAATTTACTAACGGAAAATGCTGACGTGCCTTACTTTATTACTTTTTATGAAATACGTGGTGATGATGTGACATTCAACAAGCTCCACATCAGAGAAAAGACAAAAAAAAATATAAATTAAATTAGAAAAAAGCTAAAAGTAAAAGAAAAAACTAGACCCACAACCAGCGGCTGTGGCCAAGCTTTTATCAGTGGCCGTCGCCATAGTTGCCGAGAAGGGCCACTAGAGGTCGCTTGGGCCTTCTAGAAGCCCGACGACCCTTGCCAGGCTTCGAGAAGGCCTAGGCGACCTTCGCCGAGCCTTCCTGGCGGTCCTGGTGGCGACTACCGGCAAGGGCTTGACCATAACGGCTGGTTGTGGGTTTGTCTTTTTTTTTTTTCACTTTTAGCTTTTTTAATTTAATTTATATTTTTTAACTTTTTCTGGCGTGACACTTGTTAGACACCACATCATCGCCATGTGTCTCAAGAAAAGTAATATAATAAGACACGTCAACATTTTCCGTTAATAAATTAGACGGTGTTAATTTTAAGACTCGATTGAACCAATTTGATAAGTTTTAGGGCTCGATTACATTTTTATGATAAGTTTTAGGACTTCTAGTGACCATATCCTTAAAATATACATAATATATATATTAAGAGCAAATTCTTGGGCGATGTATTTGAAAACCTTTTTTGAACTTGATAATAGACAATAAATGCAACACAAGTTAATTGATGACTCTTCACTTTCCTTGCTTTCAACAGAAAATCAACAAATATGCGAAATAGATCAAAGTTTCAATAATCTATATCTGTATCTTCTATATCTATCTATACAATATACAAAAGGAGAGTTTTGGGAGAACACGTGTCACTCTCTCCCTCCCTTCCTTTTTTTTTTTTTAAATTTGTCATTATCATTTCTCCCTTTTTTTCTCCTTTTTATTTGTTTTTTTTTCCCCTTTTATATAAACTTAGCTTCTTCTTTTTTCCATTTTCTCGTTTTTACTTTTAAGTGCCAAATTTTATTGTCCCTCCACTTTCAATATATTTTTTTCTCACGGTTCTTTCTCTTTCAAATAATTACAATTAGATCCTACCTTGAAAAAAATTGATTTTCCAACTGACTTAGGAAGGGATGATGTCAAATATTTTTACTTTATATCATATCCCAAAAGTTATATAATTCATTCTTTGAATCATCGGTTAAATCTAGATCAAGTACCCAGGACTCTCAACACAAATCTCGATGTAGTTCTTCTATTAAAGAATTTTATAGTTTTATTTTTTTTTGTCGGAAAATTTTATAGCTTTAGTCGACATTGATATTAGTTTGTCGTTCTAAGCACCCACCACCATCACCGGACTCCAACGCCACCGCTGCCACTCGCCTTGAGCACCAAAATGACCACTCGCCGTCTCCAACACCCTCACTACTTGCAAGTCAATAGGCCACCGCCACCCAACGACGACGATGACACCATGTGTAGCCCGCCTGGGAGAGCATCGGTGCAATCGTGAAAGAAGTACATTTGACCGAGGATAAAAAAAAAAAAACAAGAAGAAGAAGTACGAGGGAAGGAGGAAGAAGAAGGTAAATATTACTCTACCTATGTTTCATATCACTTCCGATATTAATTTTGCGTGATTTTAATCATTCACAAGGTCAAAAAAAAAAAAAGTCTCGAAAGCATATCTCCTCAGTAAAAATGTTCATCCAAATTCATTTTGATTTGCTTGGCACTTCTAATCACCAAAAGAAGCATAATTTTTGTTGAGAGGAAAAAGCCAAGTCAACGAGCAACTCATGACATGATATTTACTTGATAGAAAAAAGAAAAGAATTGTTTTATTTCAAACATAAAACAAAATTTAATGCTAGCATTATATTTAAAATAATATTTATTAGGCAATATTTTTCTTTTTTTATCATTATTTTTCGCTAAGCAGGCAACTTTCCCGTAAAGGCATTGGGTAATATTTTCGTAAACAATATAAATCCGACAAGATTCAGGACACGTCCGTGTCCAAGTGGTCAGCCTCTCTCTCTCGGGCAATACGTCGAACAATTAGGCGGCGCCAGCCTGCACAGCGACCACAAAAGCGGCCACCATTTTTGCTGGGTCAGCTAGGTTCTTGCTTACTTTCCCTCTTACTGCTTCGTAAGCTTTTTCGATGCATACCCATAAAAAATTTCAATGGGTTGGTGTCCCGGGACTGGTGCGTTTGATGCATTGGTTAGACGCTATCTTGTGCTTTGTGTGTTCCCACCAGGTGGTCTCTCTTGTAATCTTGAAGTTTGTACTGCAACCCCACGTGCTTCCTGGGGCTTTCTGCGTCTCCGAAGCTTCCCAGAAATTTCGGGAGTTGTAATTAAGGAAATCTATTGGCAGTGAATGAAGGGTCGTGTGCATTTCGAGGTTGATAGTTGATATAGTTGCCATCTGGCTCTGGAGATCATACTTAGTGTAAAGTCTCTAGCTTCAAGTTGGAATTGCTGGTTTTTTCACCCGAGTTTACGCCGAATCATAGCCTAGGCAGTTGAGTTCTGTTCCTCTGTTCTGCTTCTTGGGGGGGATGGGTTTAGGATTGCATTCGAAAACTTTGCCCTCGGCCGGCTTGTTTCGGCTTACACTCGGTCATTCTTCTCTTTTCTTTGGGTTGTTATGTGCATGACCATCTATTATCTTCGTGCTATTTAGATTCTTCGCTGAGGTTTTGATCAAAATTGTATTTGTTTATTGCTTTCGTTAGAATGAACTGTATAAAGCAGTTGGTCTTGAGGCATATCAGGTTGAGGGCCTCCGCCGGAACACTAGCTTTTGGTGCTGAGAATGGAAGCGTGATGAAGCAACTGACCCAGCTGATGTGCACATCGACGATGCATAGCCCGGATCAGATAGTTGATAGAGTGGTCAGACTAGTGAAGAAATTTGATAAGATCGATGCTAGTAAGGTCGTTAATTTTCTCTCTCATTCATTATTTTTGTAGTTTTTTGTTTCGTTAGATAAGAGTGATTGTTCTTCAATTGGACTTGTTTGTGGATCAGCAAGAAGCAGCACTGACTGAAGTGAAGATTTGGTCTAATTGAAGTCCCCTCCCCTCAATTTGAGTTCATTTTGCCTTTTGAGCTTGACGTTTGTTAATACGATATTGAACAGGTCACTGAAACTGCGGATTTCCAGAAAGACTTGTCCCTGGATAGCTTAGACAAGGTGGAGCTTGTTATGGCTGTCGAGCAGGAATTCTCCATCGAAATCCCCGAAGAGGAAGCAGACAAGCTCGCTTGCTGCGCCGATGTTGCTAGATTCATAGCTTCTGGTTCTGAAAAAGCTGCCGAGAGCTCGTGAGTTCATTTACTGTAATATCGGCTGACGGGGGTTTCACTGATCTCTTTGTTGTTCAACTGAATTGAGATTCAGAGTCTCATTAATCGTTTTGATTTGGAGGGAAGATGGAGAATCTGTATGCATGAATTGTGAATTGCTGTAGCAAGGAAAACTCCATTATCAGGTGTTAGTTCTGATACATAATTTGCTTCAATCTTCAGCCTCTGTGTGACTAATGCCACCTTGGACATATAGAAGAACCTCTTTTGCCATTAGCATATCGATTTATGCATATACATACACACACACGCCGACGCGATATTCACACACCGTCTGTTTCTTTGGGCCACGTATCTTCTGCACTCTTTGTTCCGGATCATTTTCGTTCACTGGGGTCTATTTTACAAGTGACTCTGTGAAGTTTGGAAAATCACTAGCTCAATTTGTGACTGAAGCGCCATCGAATGAGCCGTGTCCTCGGGTCTCTCGGTATGCTTAATTTGGGTAGCTTTCTCTGGGGCCGCTCGGTTTCTTCATGCATGCTTCTGGAGGCTCGGATGCTGAATGCAGAAGTCTCATTGTCCCCGCTTCGTAAGTTCGGATCCCGTTCCCGACCGACGAAAGCCTAACTGTCTTGCGCTTTCTGATATGTGCCGGTCGGCAGTGCGAGTTCCTCGGCATTCGAACGAGGTTAACCGAACATTTCTTGTTCAAGTCGGGGATGGCGTGGAGCTCTGAAGGAAGATCTATGAAGTAGTCCCCATTTTCGTCTGTCACGCCATGAATTCGGCTAGATTTGCTTTCTTTATCGTTGGCATGGCAATTGACGGCCACCTTAGCGCCTGCGCAGATTGTATTGAAGGTGAGACGACATGGATTTCATGTTTGTCGTTTCGATTGGACTGTAATGTGATTTGAGTGCTCAAAGGTAGAATGACATGCCTCTCCGTCATGACTCTTGTGAGCACATTAATCCTCCATCATTTTCGAGAAAATACTTTTGTTAAAAAATATTTTCCTCAGTTTCCGGGATTTGGATCGCTTAGAAAAATGAATCAACGGAAAAAAAATTTTCAAAGTCAATAAAAAGCCTATGCTGAGATTAAAAAAATATGATGTTCTTTGGTAAAAACCAGAAATCATTTTCCAAACTACGACTAGATATAGACGGTTGGACTAGAGATCTCAGCGCTTGGGCATGGAAACCCGACGCCCGTGCCTAGGTCCCTGGCGGCTAGGCCCGGGTCTTAGGCAAGGCTCGGGAAACCGGTGCCCACGTTCGAGAATCTAGCTCCCATGCCCAAGTCACTGGCGTCCAGGCCCAGGTCCATCGAGGCCGGGTCCGGTTCCACAGAGGCCAAGCCCAAGTCCCTCGAGGCCGGGCCCGAGATCCAAGTTCCCCATGCCGGGGTGAATACCCGTCGTTTCAATGGCCTATTTCACTTACAATCATTTTCATTTCTATCCTTAAGTCTCGGACTCTGACCCAAGACAAATCAAACATAAATTCTTCCAAAAAAAACATAACATGAAGCATGAAGTGAATCTACCTAGGACTCTCTAAATCCACCAAGAAGGCCAAGACAAGAACGAAACGTGCGATTCAACCAATAGAAAAGCTAGCTTTGTAGCAGATGTTCATACAAGAAGATGGGAAAGAGAAAACTTTTCTGTTTTTTCCTCCCCAGACCTCCTCCTTCCCATCTCTGGATTCTTCATGAATATGAAACTCCTTTTAATCTGAAACATATAGAAACTAACCGAGATATTGATTCCAAACGTTCAACGCAGCCATTCCGAGCGGAAATTTTTAATCTGAACGAGCGATACTTTTTTAAAGCCCGAGCTGAGCCGATTCGTTTTGAATTTTATCTATGTGAAATGAGCTAGACCCAATTCCTCGTGATCCAATTTTAGACCCCTCATTTCGACGTTAACGATCTTCTGAACATACCAAAAGGTCCTTCTTTTGCACGTTGGTGCTTTGTGAGGATGATTAAATGAAAACAATATGATCGCAGCGTATCGCAAACCTGACAATGGCCATGCATGAAGCTGAGAGTCGCTGCGCAAGCAAGCCTCGCAAAGAACAGAGCCGGTAACGAGGACCGTGGAGAGCTTCCCCTCTCCGTAGCCCGCCATCTCCACCAACTCGTCCCTCCTCGCCGACAGCTCGGACAGGGGATCCACCTCCTCCACTGCAGACACCGCTGCCTCCTCCACCACTGGTGTCGCCAATGAATTCGCTTTGATCGCGATGAAGAAGTTGGTAAGGAAGACGAGCATCGTCACAAGATTGCGGCACCAGGGAAAGCAGCTCATCTTCTTTGCGCTTGTTTTGACGTGCAAAAGATGGATAGAGAGAAGAAGCAAGCAGATCACGAAGAGAGGATGGCTTGACGTTTGGTTTTTATAGTGCGAGGCTTTGGGATTTAAATATAAAGCTGGCCTCTTCCAATATGGAATTTACAAATCTGACCTTGGACCGTCTAAAAATACCTTAATCATCGAGTCAATGTTGTGGAAGGGACATGTTCAAAGAAATGGCTGAAAATATACGCTCGACGTTATGGAGGATTGAAGGTTTTATGTACCTTTTTCTTTCATTAATGCAATACACAACTTAGGATGCAACGTCCTGATTATGTACTGTGTATTAATTTGCTAGTGATGAATAATTAAGCGAAAAACTATACGCGGATTATCCTTGCAAGAACTTGGTGAAGTTCTTAAAGCGTAGGGCAGTCATTACATCACATTGTTCATAATAAAAAAGAACCCAAGTAGAGAATCAATAATCTGAACATACCCAACGAAGCGATCGGATATTCAATAAGCATCACAAGCAATGACTCGACATGCGATGATCGGTCGATAGGGCATTTGAAATAACCACGCATTCACTTTGATTCTTATATAGTTTTGAGCATGGGTTTCGCCATTTTGTTGTAGGTAAGTTATCCTATGTAGATGTACGCATCAACCAATGACGCCGTACGCGAAATTCGATTGAATTATCTTGTTTAGAGTCGTAAATTGGGATGTGAATTTTCTTTATGTTTTTTGGCATATGGTCTCCATCAAGGGCCAATCTTGTCTTTGCCTCGGCAAGATACAACATAGACATAGGTCATAAAATTGAGACCGTAAGTTAAAGGTCGGTAGGTTGCCTACTTTTGATGGCTACATATGCTCTTTGTTTTTCCATTCTGCAGACATTTTTATGATCAGTTCACCCGTTTACCAAGCTGCTCTTCTTCCCATGCAATAATCTCTCTCTCTCTCTCTCTCTATCTGTGTGTGTGTGTGTGATATATTCAAGCCTGCCCCAACCATCACCCTATCTTAAACAACAGCTCACGCATCATTCTGCTAAAAACCAGGCTCTCTCTCTTTCTCTCTCTCGGACATCTGCATTGGTTGGTGAACTTGGGCAAGAACATTGGACAGTGGACTTCATTGCAAGCGACACATGGAACCGCATGGATGCGGAAGAGTGAGATGGCGATGCGAAGTTGGCGTTGGATGAACTTTCCCGTCACGGTAGTCTCCCAAAATCTGATCAACTGATCAAACCCATCTTATACGTGAATTCCCAACTCCGTGGTCAGCGTGTCCATGCTTTCTTAGCTAATCTGAGCACTCAAAACTCCTACTAAAAGTAACCCCCTTACGTGGAAGGATGGTTTCTGCGCATACGTAAGGTTCGGATACCCATTGTTTTTCTCTCGGAGGGCCATCGATGATTCGCATACGTTCGACATAAACTCGATGCCGGTAGAGAAAAGTTTAGAAATATTACCGGACTTTGCGAATAAGTGCGAATTCGAATGTGTTTGTACGCTTTTAACCTAATTTATTACGCGAAGGATGACACATCTATTATGCTCGAGAGGGAAAAGTATCAGAAAAGTCCCAAACCTATTATATTTGTATCAATTTAGTCCTAAACCATTTAATTGTGTCAATTTAATCATAAATTTTTTATCCTAGTGCCAATTCAGTCATTCTAGCTAATTTTAGCTAGATATTGCTGACATGGACACCCAGGCAAAGGCGACGCCCGGCGAGGGTCGGCCTCGCTGGGGCTCGTCCGGTCGGGCCTCGCCTGTGGCGGGTGATGGCTGACCTTGTCCAGGCAAGGCTAGCTTGCCCGATCATGGCCAGTAACCAATCATCGACTGTAGCTGGTGGCCTGTCACCAGCAAAAGGAAGAGGAAAGGAAAAAAGAAAAGTAAAAAATCAGAAAAAAATAATAAAAAATAATATTATAAATTGTCCACATCAGTAATATCCGGTCAAAATTAGTTTGAAGGACTCAATTGGCACTAGATTAAAAGATTTAGGACTAAATTGGCACAATTAAAAAGTTTAAAATAAAATTGGCACAAATTCAATAAGTTTACGACTTTTTTTACACTTTTCTATGATTGAGAACTTTATATTTTAGTGATTCGGGCCTCCTCAACATCCACTATGATCTTGTGCACCAGATTTTATTAGCACTTACATTGAGGCTGGGGCTTTGTGGCTTCGAATTGTCTATTCCATCAGCAAAAAAATCAAGATGAGTACTTAAGACTCCTATATCTCTACACCTAGGTCATGATCATTAGGGTTTCTTTTTAACTCCTTATCAGTGAAGAAATCGAATTCTCAGTTCTTGCCAATCACAAGAGTAATTTCTTTATTGAGCTTTAAATTACAAGAGCCACATGTTGCCAAGTAGATAACATAACATGCATGCTTGTGTGCAAAGATTATCCGAGTCTCGTATCTAGAAATAATAAGACGTCTCGAATAAGATTCGTCTCCATATAATAAATTTTCATATCATTTTCGTACTGTGATTGGCTTTGTCTATCACATCATTTATAAACTTAGTCTACCAATAATTTTTCTAAGTTTGCTAGAACTGCTTCAAAACATAATGAAAGCCACTAAACTTTTGATTGATGTAAGGTGTGCAAGTAGGGGATTAGTACATTACCACAAAAACAAAGTCAACATTAAAAATCTCCTATCATTTTCAAAAGAGGCAGAAAGATGCCGGCAGTCTTCCACTTAAAAAGATGAAAGTTGAAGTCCCAAATTCCTTCATCATGACTACCTAAGAAAGTTGATGTATTTCACCTTTCCATTTGCATATCATGCATTTTCCTATCTAACAAAGCGGGAAGCGTGCAAAACGTTCTCAGTCTAGTCAACATATTTAATTTAAAGCTGTGTTTGACCATCTAGATTTCTATATCCAGACTTGATAAGATATGATATGCAATTTAGGAATTTTGCTATATCCTATCTACGTTTAATGAATCAAAATAATAAAGCCAAAGAGCGACGGAGGAGAATGAGAAGGGAATGGTAGGGCGGGCTATTCAGGAAACAGCTTTTATACGACGGACATGAGAAATCCTTTTCCAGACGCACTCATATATGATATAGTATAGCCGACCTTATGTCTCTCCAAATCCCCAACTTATAGCATATTCAACTAATTACACGTGATCAAGTATCTTTGCATATTTCCGATCCCAAAAAAAAGAGTATCTTTACATATTGTACACTACCTATATTCACTTACGAAATGATCAAAGCTTTCTCGATCATGCGGAAGACGAAAACATCAATTCAATGTGTCATTCTCTAGTCTCATTCTCACGTGCTCACTATGATGGTGGGTAATCAAGCTCATTGAATCTTGAGCAACATCAAATTTAGAAAAGCTAAAAGGGCAAAAGGCATGCCCAACCTCCATGACTACTGGCAAATCAACCATTACATCACTAAACAGTCGAATTAACCACTGATAAGTCAATAAATATCACCACCGCCTTTCGGGCACGACATGATTAACACAGTTATCTCTAGTGAACACTTGTACTGTACTTAGATTAGTTAATAAAGCTTGTTGAATCTTGAGCAACATCAAAATCAGGAAAGCTATGAGGGCAAAAGGCATACCAAACCTCCATCACTAAACAGTTGAATTGACCAATGATAAATCAATATACATCACCGCTATCTTTTTGGGAAGTGGTGCTCCCCCGCATGGAGAGCATAGGGCCAATCACCTTGCGGTAATATATATAGGTACATTTTGATGGACACCACTAAATTTGATTCTTGGGTCCCTCCTCCAATTTCAATTTTGGGGGGGTGGCCAATAAGGGTCCACGTGGAGCGCCCTCCGTGGCTGACGTGGACAGACAAGTCTTCGTTCGATGAGGATCACATCACCGTCCAATGTGGGCGATTAGCAACCTAAAGAATGACTCATTAAAGATGTGCATTTCATCCATTTGTTGATCCGAGAATGTGATGGTGATTCCTAGTTTTCCTCGTGAAATGCAAACGTTGTTTCATTATCTCGTAAAAATAAAATAAAATCATAGAAAAACGATATTTGTTTTTTAATAGCTAATATGTCGGTCTGCTCTATATTGTGAGATTTCCATATTCAATGATATGTATGACTTCTCTAGTTCCTTTCATTTATCGTCTTCTCTCAAGTACACGCATTTTCCTTTTAAGTCGAACCGCAGGCCCTCTCATTAAATAAAGATCACGCCAAAAGAGAAAAGAACCGGAAAACTCCCATGCCAAATAGTCACAATCTTATAGAACATCTACTTTGGCCGAAATATTAGGAGTCGTAGAAAACATTGTAGTAAAACTTAGAAGAAAAAGTGACACAAACAGGCCTATTAGCTCAGTTGGTTAGAGCGTCGTGCTAATAACGCGAAGGTCGCAGGTTCGAGACCTGCATGGGCCAGCCAATATCATATTTTTTAAATTTTTTTTTTGACATTTGGTGTTTAAGTTTTCTGTGTTTTCCCTTTTGGCTTGAGCATATTAGGTTGCGTTTGGACTTGGAAAACACACATCAGATCCATTTCGCTATGATTTCTCGGCATTGTTAGCTCATGTTCATGTTTACAGACTTACACAAGAAACCAAATTTAGATTACCCATCAGACCATTCCATTCGATTTGCCATGATTTATTGGCGGGCTCATACCACAAAAAACCTCGAACTGGTACACCCGTACCACATTTGCCCCCAAATTGCAGTAAAACTAGGATTTTTGTGGGTAAATGTGGTTTGAAGGTAAATGTGGCACAAGTATACAAGTTTGGGAGTTTAAATGACACAAAAATTGGTTTGGGGGTAAATATGGCACGGGTATACCAATTTAGAGTTTTTGGTAATAATAACCCTTTCTTTGCCGGACTTGCTTTGCCTAGTAACCTGGGAAGCTGATTGAATCCTCATCAATGATTCACTGTGTCGAGAGCAAAAGGACTTCTTGCATGAAAGCTCCACCTGAAAACTGATGTAGTAGACGTGTAGAGAAGGTTCAGTTCAGACATTGAACCCCGGAGGTTCCGGCAAGGGCTTACAGATGCCCAATGACGCAACATAGAGAAATCCCGTCTTCGAATATATGAATCTCATTTGTCAAGGGCTTTAATGCCCGTAAGGGACACTGTCATGCTCTACATATTAATTCCTGCAAGGATGCGGTAACAGTGTCTCTGGTCATACAACACGGCAGTTTCGATAGAATGAATCGAGTCATAGTAAGTGCTGACCACTCCGATGTTGAATTGCATCTATGAGTAAGAAAAAATCTTTCTGAGGTCTAATAATAGTCACATGCTACTACTTACTGCCCGCTCCGGAAATGGCTGTCCAAGTACAGGAAGTTCTTTTGATCGGAGAAGGTTGATGTTGTTGTTACTGGAGTGAATCCAGAATACTTCCCGTTCTTCTTTGCTGAGCACATGTCTATAATGCACTTGACAAGCTCGTTTTTTTGGCAGAATGGCTGCGCTGCGTATTCTTCAAACGGCATCCACTGAAGGCGACAAGAGAATAACCATTGGACTATATTAGAGAATTACTACTGCAGCGCTTACCCTCTTAGTATTTTGTATGCAGTTTCATCATTCATTTGCAGGATGCACCAAAAAATTCTTCGCTTGGGAAAACCCCATGTTTTTTGGTTGGATCAATAGTTTAACCAATTGCAAGCTTCAGCTTACATTTGGCAGGTTAGAGTGTATGGCAAAAGCACACAGGACCATGCATGAAAAGGAGAATTAATCAGTCAAGCAGGGTGGTAGTCACCAAGGTACCACGAATGATAAAGAAGAACAAATCGGTGAAATAGCTATACCAATAGTACTATATATTTACCTGCACAGCCTCTACCTCCACATCCTGCTTCTGGATGTCAAAGGATAAAGGTCGCACCAAGCAGACAAAAAATAAGTCCGACTTCTGAAAGAACGACTGATGACTTTGCCTGTGGATAGTCAGTGAAGAGTTAGGAAATTGTAGTATCTTGCTCAAAATCTGGTAAATGGCCCAGGAGTTTCCAGGCCCTGACACACTCTTTACAAGATTAACGACATAACATAACACACTTCTTTTTCCAGACAGGAACTAATGGGTGCTATGTGCAAATAACTAAATTTCAAAATGCCATTCAGCAATGGCCATGGTTTGGCTCTGACCCTCCACAATAATGCAGGTGGAGTGTGTTATGTCTCGAGATATAAAGTCGCACAGTTTCAAAGGAAGAAATTTAGTAAGAAAAAGTAAGAATCTTATCCCAAGAACGTAAATTTATCACGTCTGAAACAAGGAGAAAAGGAGAAACGGACTCCATACCTAAATCCTAAGACTTCGACGAATTCAGCATCAATCTGCATATGCAGAAACCACACGACATAAATCTTCATAGAATTTAAGCAGCTATTTGTATAATCACATATATATTACTCACTCCAGTCTCTTCTTTAACTTCTCTTACTGCAGCTGCACATATGTCTTCTCCCTGAAGATAGTGAAGCCAAAAGGTGAATAATCAAGCAGAAGTCATGTCACTACATTTAAGTCTGCAGTGGAATCATGACCTCATCAACAACACCCGTCGGGAACTTCCAAACACCAGTCCCTCTAAATAATCCAGTCTTCTCTTGAACAACGAGCAACTGCCAGAGCGTCAGTTGAGAATTACTTATAAGCCATAGTAGCATAGTTCTAAAGTTATGATTACACCTCCAGGAATTAAAGCCAAACAATCACGCCAAACATTAATGGGACACCTGGAATGGGATATGAAAGATATAAAGTGAAGTCTAGCAGTGAGTCCCAAGCTAAGTTTTACAAGGGCTGTACACAGAAGATGACAATACATTTTCTGAAGGGCCGCAGAGAATAGACATCATTAGGACACAGATATGATGACCGGAAAGCCACAGAGCTACTCTGGCGGATTAAATCTAAAGATGGGATGGGGTAAATGACATGAAAAAGAGAGCCTCTTCTCTTTGTGTAACCAGTTACAGTACAAAAAGGCAAAGGAAAGTAAAACTCTTTCTCCATGTGGCAACTCAAAGGAATGATCCAGTGTCCTGCATGGTATTTGGTGTACGCACACGAATACAAAACGCTAATTACCTAAAGGAAAGTGTCTTAGCATAGCCCTCATGACTTAGGACTAACCAACTAGAATGCTATTATATATGCAATTTTATCTTGTGGTCATGGGGATGTTTATGAGGAACATTATGAAGTTAGAAAGTTCTCTGAAGAATTGACAGTAAGCACTTCAGCAGCAGGTGAGCCGAGTCAAATCAAGGCAAGCTGATCATGAAAATATCATCCGCAAAAGAAGAAACAGGCACAATTCACATTCTTCCTCTTATCTTCAGTATGTCGGTCACCAGACAGATACAATCAGCAACTAGTCTGAATAATCTGTGTAAATTAAAAGTTCCAAAAGCCTCCATGGTCTAACTTCTTGCTGGTCATCAGAGATTGGAAGAAAAAGCTATGTTGGATCCATCATCATCACTATTCGCCTAAATTCCCTCCATCTCTTTGAGAAAATGGAAACAAGCTCACCAATGATGACTATATGTAAAAGACTCATGAAAGGAATCATGAAGGAATGTGATGAAAAGGCCCAAAGGAGGCATGAAGCACGTGACTGAGCAGGAAAACTGCAAAAATAAGCCGTGGATATGTCATGATGGTGAATGAGAAATGGCAAGAAGACCAGAACCTACATGGGCAGAGACCAACGCTAATCAATAAATAACATCGCATCCAAATATTTAATCCAGGAGATTCTCCGACGGTCTTCAGGACCTTCACAATTAGATTGACACTAAAGCAAAAAAAAGTTCTACTCAAGTAAGTCATTCAGCTGTAGTTGCTACCAACAATCTTAAAAAATGTCTTGTCCTAATGATTTGAAGCATAAATCTGCAAAAAGGGGCTCTTAATCATTCACAAAGAGAGATGATCTCGCGCAGAAATTTAGATTGGGAGCAATACCTCGTCCTTCTCATTCATGGCAACCACACCAACACCCACTCTGTGCGTCGCATTTGCTGGAATGGTATGAGCACTTTGTGGAATCCAATACACAAGCATTAGATACTTTGGCTCCGCATGGTGATACCAAAATCCTTCCTGCACAAAGTAGAAGACAATCACCTCATAGAGCGGAAAACTTAATCCAAAAGTTACGATTGTCACAGTAAACATATATACTCGGTTCCCACCCCAGCCAGTTCCCCAGAAAGAGCAAACCAGGCGACCTTCAGTTCAGTGATCAATCTGTGGAGCCAATAGAACAATTACCGCGACAGCAGCTTCTACGAGATTCACGAGTTCAATAGGTAATTTGATCCACACACCCTTCTTGCCCTGCAAAAATGCTGGCACTTTAGCACTACAAAACAGTAACATGAACCAAAGAACCAAAAGAAACTCTCAAACTCTGAGGATGCAAGCTCTATATCAACAACAGCGTGATTCATGAGCCAATAGTAGCAAGTCGGCCAGATTCGGTGTCGTCTATGCAATCTACCAGGATAAAGGAAGAACCAATCTAGCACATCTAAACCCAAATTCGACACGAAAATCAACAGTTAAAGCTGAACGGAGAGGCGGCTAACGAAAGAGAAAAACCTGCTCTCTCCAGTGCGAAATGGAGGCTCTGAGCACGGAGACGAAGGTGGCGGAGTCCATAGCCTCCTTCATCTCCACAATGACGCCTCCGTAATGGTCCTCCACAGAGCTCAGCAACTTGACCTCGTTCTCCATCGCGACGGCCTCCGCCGCGGCCGGAGAATTGGAGCCGGCCGACCCCGACATCGATCCGATGGCCGCGCTCCGCACAGCCGCTCTGGGTCGAGCTTCAATTCCTGAAAGAATCCCAGAAAGTCAAATCCCGTGATGGAGCCGCAAGAGGGTCGATCCATCCGCCGCTCAAGAACCAAGAACTGAAGATACCAAGTGGGAGAGGGATTCGTCGAGCGAGTGCGAGAGCGACGGAGCGATTCCGGGGAAGAAGAAGGGAGAGATCATTCGCAGCGACGACGGCGGGGAGCGCGAAGCGGAGTGGGTGGAGTCGGGAGAGAAATCTTTGCATCTTTTATACGGTAAAGATCGCAGCTTGCGCATCCGATTCGGATACTTGGTTGGGAATCAATGCGGCCGAGCTCGTTCGATTCCGCCACGATCAGCCGCCATTATTGCTCGCCTTCTCGTCCACAACGACCACACGCACGCGAATTCGTAGCATCGTCATCCATTCAAAACGAGGTTGTGATGGCGACACCCACCAGGCCCTGGTTCGTAGGCGGGCCTGGACAAGATCAGGCCTTGCTTCTACCAGGCCTCGAATCCTTGCTCGAACTGCTGTTCAAATGGTCGTACTTCGCACTTTGCAACTTCCCTTTTCACGGAATTACATGTTATGCCCGGAGCGTTGGATGCTCCAGCGGTGATCTTGGAGGTGAACGCGTTGGCCCGGCTTCGCAGTTCGAGGCGGCCCGGCGAGGAAGTTCCCGACTTCGAGCACAGTAGTTCTCGAGAGCATCGCGCGTTTGTACAGTCTCGCCGTCGCCGAGTCCTGCTCACACGGTAATCTTTTGAGATGATGATGATGACCCACATGCTTTGCGAGATTCAAAAGTGGTGTGAAGCTGTCAAGAATTTCGATGGGTAGTTTACTCCAGCTGTTCTTGAACTTCAAACTCTGAAATTTTTTGCGGGTGCAGCTGCTAGGATTAGAGAGACACTGGAAAGTGCAGGGGTTGGCGCAGGAGGGTTCGGCTTCAAACGTTGTGCCCTTTTCTCAAGCAAGCACTAGCAAATGTATTAGTTTAGTTATCTCGAATGTTGTCGTTCTGGTTCTTACGATTCGTATGTGGAAACTGCAGCTTCCTTGTAGCAACGGCGGGACATTTCTTTGAGGAAGTCCAGTGTAAAGGAAAAGAGGGCTAAAGCGTAGAGAAGGATTTGAAGTTTCTCCTTGATTACGCGAGGAAGGCAATAGCAAGGCTAACCTGTTGAAAAAGGTAAAGGCCAATGTAGAAGTTGCCTGTTAAGGAACTGTGGTATGGTTGCTATGGGAAGTTTGTGACTTCGTGAGTTTGGAGGGAGATGCGACAATGTTATGCACTCCGTGACGCAGAGTAAATTTTGCCGAAGGGTCTCTTGCGTGCTATCTTAACATGTTCGTTCGGCATGTTTGGATTATAATTGCACGCTCATGCGTTCTCAACGATATACTGGCGAAATGTCTGGACAGAATGCTTGCGCAGCATGAAGTCGATGTAGCTCCCTGTGACGTGCCAGTGGAAAATTAGGAAACTAATTTGGCTGTGATGGGTTCAAAGGAGCGACAATACACGCGGCAGTATGCCAACTAGAAGGTACCATTTCCTTTGCCTATTGGCGTTATCAGATTCACTTTGAAATTAGGTTTTCAGTTTAGTAACAGAACTGGAGTTCTCATTTGCATTACCCTTCTCATTGTATTCAGATTGAAATTTTAGGTGTTTATAAAGTTTCTTTGGAGCTAAATTGAGATATCGTCAAGTGAATGCATCTTGAGATGAGCAAGCTGCTCTCTGGATGCTACATGAATCCCTAGAAATTCATTTTACAAGTTTTCACCCTCTTTGATCAATTTAGCGAATTCTATGCGGATGGCACTGCATCGGGTAGGATACACACCCAGAGATCAGCCACGGCGTACTAGTGGAGATGGCTGAACACCGAAAGGAACTACAGAAGAAAACAGAGCTCATTCTCGATACTCTGAGAAGCTACCAAGACTTGCCTCTAGGAATTTTCCCTTTTCCTCTTGCCTCATATTGACTCGAGCTGAACACTACAAATGTTTACCACTTCACCTGTATTGAGGTCTATCTTATTCCTCAAATATACTTGTCTTGATTCATAATCTTCTCGCAGGACAAGGGTTTAGCTGTTTTAGCAATTTGAGGACAAGAAAAGGCGGTATGCTGCAGCTGAGAAATATCTCGAAGACATGTTGCATTCAGCTCTTGCAACATCTGAATGAGGACGGATATCGATCTCATCTAAGCATCGCCTCATTTGTTTATTTCTCTGGGGGTGAAGCAAAAGACAGGTCTGGTTTCTCGTTGTTTGCGAAACCCATGAAAGATTGAGCCATCTTTCTGGGGAGCTCGTGGTCGGGTGGTGAATTTCTTGCCCAAGTCAGTGGAAGAATTTAAACGATGGAGATGTCGAATGATTCGTCTGGAATATTGATGATACCCCCTGAGGATATAACTTGACGGGTGATGTAGAGAATACATGATTCGCAGTAGCTTTGAATTCCTTTCATATGATCGTATGCCTTAGCAATGCTTAAGTCGAAAAGTGATGGGGGCACCTTCGATTCTTTCAGTACCTAACTATGGCGTATTGTCGTATTTTGTCGTAGACAATTGATGCTCCTGGACATCGTGTTGCCTAGTATGATCATCATGTTGCCTAACTACGCACTAATCTTGCGCAGCCATTCTTGGCTCTGCTTAAATATGATACATGAAACATGTTTTCCTTCATTGAGCTCTTGATAATTTGGAATGAGCCTCTTGATTTAAATCCATGTATGTCCTTGGAGTGGCATTTTCTTGTTAACAGGCTTCATTCTTGTAAGACATATTGGGTGGACCGCCCAAGATGGGCCAAACCCGGCCCGTGAGCCACAAGGGCCCACAAGGTAGTTATTTGCCTATCTATAATAGAAGGCACCCCTTGGAAAACCAATGTGATTTTTTCCGTATGCAAACACACACCTTCGAATACGACGTCTTCTCTATTTTCCTTCGGAACGCACACGAGTACGAAAGACGATCGAAGAACTCTCAAGCGCAAAGTGGCACTTAATCTGTGACAATACCGGGTATGTTCGTTGTGTGATATGCCTGTACGATCGGTGATACAAGTTGATAGCCCTCGAGCACGTTTTCCGCATTGATCGAATTCGTTCCGAATATGTTTCGAACGTGTCGATCGGGGATTGAGTTTTCCCAACAATTCTCAACCTCAACTTTCAATGCTGTGATATGAAGTTCTTGTTATGCCATAATGCTACAGCAGTTGCCCTTTATTAGAAAGTTTAAGCATATGGAAATAGCCATTCGCGTGATATAACCAGAGATTTCATATGGGCATTCCTCATTTTCGAAACGAATGTGAAGATCGCGTGGGATTTGTACAGGCGTTCTCCCTCGAAATGAAATGTACAGATCAGTGGAGATCTGTATGAGCGACACTCTTCCTCGAAATGAACATGCAGATCAGCTACTGTGTTGAGAGTATGCGCTATGTATTTTAACATGTCAAGAATTCAGTTGAAAAAAATGGTGATCACATTGTCTAATCCAATTGGCATTGCTGGGAAATGAGGGTAATTGTCTAAAAAGTCTTTAATTTATTGTTCAGCAGTCAATTTAGTCATAAACTTTATAATTTGGCCAATTGAGTCCTAAATCTTTTAACGATTTTTCAATGTAGTCCTTCCGGTCAATGACCGGAAACTGCTAACATGACTGTTTGCCATCCTATGTGGCATTATCGATGCTGACATGGATGATTTTTCAATTTTTCTTTAAATTCTCTTAAATTTATTCTTTTTTTTCTTATTTTCTTTTTCCCCTATTTCCCTCTACTGAGGCCTCAGCCCTACAGGTAGGGACTGGGACGCCCTTGCTGTGGCCGGCAAATTTAGACAAGGCGAAGGCTGTGACCCCTCGCTCGACTACAACAAGGGCCGCAACGCCCTCGCCTGTGGTCAACAACCTCCATTGGCCATCACCGAGGCCTCGGCGATCGCCAAAGGATAAACCCTAAACCATAGGAAAAAATGGGAAAAAGAAAAGAAAACAAAAACAAAAGAAAAAAGGGAAACAAATAAAAAAATAAGAAAATTTAAAAAATGCAAAAATTTTCAATTGGAAAATTTAAGATTAAATTGGTTGTCGTACAATAACTTTAGAACTTTTTAGATAATTTTCTCCTAGAATAGGAGACCAAACATCTCTAGCCAACACCTTGGCTGTGTCGCTTTGGTATATATTTGCATCTCTCTCTCTCTCTCTGTCTCTCTCTCTCTCTCTACAATACAACGCAACTGACTTCAATATGTGTAGGCATTATTTTTCCTCAACATGAATGTATAGATCACAAATCATTTAATATAGGAATTACTCCTCCTTAAAATAGATATATACAGATCGCCCATCGTGTTAAAAGTATGTGCTTTCTATTGTAAACTATCAAGAATTAACTTGAAAGTATATGTGCTTTCTATTTTAAATAGTCGAGAATTAAACTAAAAATATATATAGTGAGCACATTGTATAACTAATTTGGGGTGATCGGTTTCCAGATGGGCCAATTGCCATCCTAGAACCGGAAACTGAATTAGAAGGGCCGATTCCTAATTTGTGAAATTAGGAACTGCCCATCTGGTCTTGGACCCACCTGAGAACTGGACCGACTCCCAGGAATAACCACCTGCGATAATAATTTTCTACATAAATGATGTGAAATATCACCTCAAATAAAGTTGCTTATGATATCTTCATTACTATATATGCTCTGCTAGCATTGGTATGTGCAATGTGTGTGTAATTACAACTACATCATGACGTGCATATTAAGATGCTTAAAAAAATATCAAAATAGATTCACATGTACAAGTATGCGATTAACAAATCTCTCTACTTGATAAATATTACCATATATATATATATATATATATATATATATATGCCAATACATCACATTCACCACTCCTAAACTGAACAAACTACTTGATAAAAAAAAAAAACTGAACAAACTAAACAAAACGATTTAAAAGCTTAATCGAACAATAACAATGTTCTTTATCTAGATTCGCACCTAACCTTCAAAAGGGGACACAAAAGAAAGACTAGTTCACTATTGAGGGAGAAGAATGAGTAATTTAATAATTAGGGTTTTTAGGTTTGTAATAATAAAAATTACATATAGATATATATCTATATATCAGTCCAATCCGGGTGATCCGGATAGGTGGGTCCACACCTGAAACCGAGAACCAAGTCAATGGTCACTGGTTCCAATTTTTAGGAATCGAGAATCGCCCAAAATCGGTTGATTCGGTCCGGTTAAGGCAGTTCTTGATTTGATCCGGTTCTTTTGCTCACCCTTATACCTAATCACTATGGTTGGGATGCGACCAAACTTCTTTGACCATTATCTTCCTTGGTGTCACTTTGTTATATGTTTTGCAAGTAGCTGCAAAAGATAGGTGCGATGGACCACACCTGTGTACATGCGTTATTTCAAAACTGTCACTTTAATTTCAAAAGTACATGTTTGTGGCGGGACTGACTTCTATTTGTATAGGCATTACTTCAAATTGTTGCTTTAATATGTTTGCAACTCTCTCTCACTCTCTTTCTCTCTGACATCATATATGTGGCATGACTGACTTCAATTATGAACGGTAGTGCTCATTCTTAAAATAGATAAATACAGTGACCTTTCCCAAAATATTTGATGTAGACATTACTCCTTCTCAAAAATGGATGTACAGATCAACCATTGTATTTTAAATATATGTTTCTTATTTTAAGCCATCAAAATTAATTTGGAAATATATATATGTAGTAAAAACATCGTATGCCTCATAGGATACGACCAACTTTTCTAGCCACCACTTTGACTGTGTCGCTTTGGTATCTATTTGCAACTCATATATATATCTTTATCTGAAACTGTATAGTGGTGTGACTGACTTTAATTATGTATAAGAAGGAGCGCTCCTTCTTAAAAAAGATATATGTAGGGAGCCTTCCCAAAATACTTGATATAGGCGTTATACCTTCCCAAAAACAGATATACATATCAACCATTGCGTCAAAAAATATGCGTTTTATATCCCAAGCTGTCAAAAGACAAAGTCGGAAATGTATATATGGTAAGAACAGTGTATACCTCACCGGATATGACCAAATTTCTCTTGCCACCACCTCGACCGCGTCGCTTCGGTATCTATTTGCAACTCGGCTCTCTCTCTTATCTCTCTCTCACACACACATCAATTGTGCTAGTACATTTGGGGGGAAAATTACCAAAAAAGTCCTAAACCTTTTGCAGTTATGCCAATTCAGTCCTAAACTTTTTTTTTTTTGCCAATTCAGTCCTAAACCTTTCGCAATTAAGCCAATTCAGTCCTTTTGGCAGGCCGGAGCTGACATGGACGCCGGCTGGCGCTGACGTGGACGCCGGCCAATGACGTGGCAATATTTTAATTTTTTTTCGAATTTTTTTTTCCTTTCTCTTTTTTTTTTCCTTTTCCTTCTTCCCCCTGGCCAGTCCGGCCAGGGGGAAGCTCGCCGGCGAGGTCCACTGGGGAGGCTCGCCGTCGCCGGGCAAGGCGAGGCGACCTCGCCCAACCTCGCCACGGCTATGCGACGGCGAGGCGGAGCTCGCCATGGCCGGGCGAGCTCGCCCTCGCCGCCCGGCAGGGCTAGCTCGGCGTCGTCCGGCTTGCCCGGCGGCGAGGGCGAGCTCGCCCGGCCATGGCGAGCTCCGCCTCGTCGGTCCTCGCCAATGCCGACGAGGGTGAGCCTCGCCGTCACACGGCCACGGCGAGGCTCGACCTCGCGGATCTGAGGCGAGGTCGCCCTCGCCGGTCGCTCGCCATGGCCGGGCGAGCTCGACCTCGCCATGGCCGGGCGAGCTCGACCTCGCCATGGCCGGGCGAGCTCGACCTCGACCTCGCCAGATCTGGGCGAGGTCGCCCTCGCTGGCCGCTCGCCATGGCTGGGCGAGCTCCGCCCTTGCCGGCTATCGCCGTCGCATAGCCGTGGTGAGGCTGGGTGAGGTCGCCTCGCCTTGCCCGGCGACGGCGAGCCTCCCCAGAGGACCTCATCGGCGAGCTTCCCCCTGGCCAGTCCTGCCAGGGGGAAGAAGGAAAAGAAAAAAAAAGAGAAAGGAAAAAAAAATCGAAAAAAATATTAAAATATTGTCACGTCACCGGCCGGCGCCGGTCGGCGTCCACGTCAGCGCCGGCTGGCGTCCACGTAAGCTCCGGCCGGCCAAAAGGACTGAATTGACTGAATTGCAAAAGGTTTAGGACTGAATTGACAAAAAAATAAAAGTTTAGGACTGAATTGGCACAACTACAAAAGGTTTATGACTTTTTTGGTAATTTTCCCTACATTTGGGAGATGTTAATGCTAAAGAGGGGCCAAACTTACTCCAAAGTAGAGAAGATCTCAACCCTCCATCACTTTAACCATCCCCTCCCTCCCTCCCTCTCTCTCTCTCTCTCTCTCTCTCTCTCTCTCTCTCTCTCTCTCTCTCTCTCTCTCTCCATCAGATTTTCAGTACCAATGAACAAGTGGCTTGGCCATCTGGAACCCATTCCTCATCTCGGGTTCCTACGTGCCCAATCTCCAACCCCCATCTAGCCAAAAACCGGTTCACCTCGAAAACCAGAAGAACAGAGAGGCGCAAACGACACAGCAGCATCGCTCGCGCGTGGCCCTTCGCATCTCGCCCCAACAAAAGTTCAAATGTCCTCGACTCGACCAAAATGCCTCGTCAGCTTTTCCAACTGCCTTATTCAGTATCGTGTTCTTCGTTCAGGTCGCCACCGCCACGTGTCGGCCCCGCCTTGACCTCTCCATCGCGTATATCTCCCGCACCCCCTCCTCCTCTTGCCCTTTGGACTCCCAACAACACAGTCTCAGAAAAGTTCTCTTGCTCCTTAGCCCGTGAACATATCAGCACAGAGAGAGAGAGAGAGAGAGAGAGAGAGAGGGTTGATTTGACTGTGTGAGGAGAGATGGAACGTGGGTTCCATGGCTACCGCAAGCTCCCCAGCACCACCAGCCCCGGTACGTCACGTAGATTTTCAAAGCGCTTTTGCTGTTTTCGCGGCATTCTTGAGTTGAGATCTTTACACATGCGCAGCGATGCACGTAAGTATCGCTCGCATTTTTTTACCTCTTATGGCGGCACATGTCCGCCTTCCTCTTTTTTTCCCTATTCAGCTTTTTGCTTTTGGCCCTTTACATATCTGCATGCATGGTTCAATAATGCACTATCGTATCTTTATCACGAATGCTCTCTTCCTTTACATGCAAAAGAGGATCGCCTCTGGTTAAGCACAGAGTAGAGAGAAACAGAGAGAGATTGTGAAAGGTTTAGCTTCGAGTGACAGTTCCATCTGCATTTGGCTTTGCTTCAACAGTTCTTAGTCCTTGCAGTTTGATTTTTTGAGGTTTATAGTCAGACTGAAAAAGGGAAAATAGTTGGTGAAATGATGGATGTACGGAGAAATTACAATCTTGGTGGGGGAATAGAACAGTGCAAGTGTCAATTCTGATGCATGCAGTGTGGACCCGAGCACCATCCATCTGTCCCTCCCTCCCTTTTTTTCTGTTTTCTGGAACTGTGAAAAAATTTAAGCCATCACCATCACTTACGTTACGAAACGCTGAAGTTAGCATCTCCAGGTTTTTGAATGTCTGCTTTCGCGAATGCACGGAAAATGAAGCGAGGAAAATGAGGAAAAGATTTCAAACGACAGTGTTGCTGCGATATATATTATGAACCAAACCCCGAATGAATGCTCAATTTATGTAGGAGTTTTACGTCATACGTGCTCTCGCGCTCGCGATTAAAGCTTTGTTTATCCCTTGAGTCGCTAGGCAAGTGTCGTGGTTTTCGTGAGCGGATCACGCAAGCCAGGCTCGTCCAACATGCCTCGGCTCGCTCGATATTTCCTCCGCTGCGAAAGTACCACATGATAGACTTTACTTCTTCGACACTGGCGCTTGTTCCATATGCCGCATAACACAGCGAGGGCATCTAAAATTCTCTACCGATAAGTTCTTAGGGTAGTGTTTTTCCCTCCATGAGCAATGTTTTTCTTGATTCTTGCGGAGGTGTAGTTCGGATTGCAGAACTAGCCAAGGCAAGAACCGTTTCTGCATGCCCTTTTGGCCTTGTGTGTTTGTTGTCGAGAAGGGAAAGAGACTTGCATTTGGAGTTTTGATGTATTACCAGCAAATCGCTATAATGTTTTGCACGTTTATTGCTCGACCAATGCATGGGATCGAGATCTGGTTCAAGTACAGTCAATATCAGTCTGTTGCTGTTGACGTTTCGGGAGTGAAACACGCATGACGTGTTTCTCACGACCGCCTGACGTCACGCCCGTGAAAACATGGACATCGGTTTACTAATCTGTACCGGTAGATTACCTGAGATTGAGAACCTGTTTCTAGACAATTTGTAGTCCGTATCATGTTTATGTCTATCTACATGTCCGAATAGTTTGTATCATGTCAATTAGTTCAGCTAATTAACTCTTCTTTATTTTTTGGGGGGATGGGAAATACTCTCGCATTCTATCTCAGGACCCGAAATTGGCATGGCAGTCGCCGATGGAAACCACACCGCTGCCGCAGCCAGCAACAACCACCATTTGAATGCGGATGAAAACATCGAGTGCACCGTGAGGGAGCAAGACCGCTTCATGCCCATCGCGAACGTGATCAGGATCATGCGCAAGATCCTCCCCCCGCACGCCAAGATCTCGGACGACGCGAAGGAGACAATCCAGGAGTGCGTCTCCGAGTACATCAGCTTCATCACCGGGGAGGCCAACGACCGGTGCCAGCGCGAGCAGCGGAAGACCATCACAGCCGAGGACGTCCTCTGGGCCATGAGCAAGCTCGGCTTCGACGACTACATCGAGCCCCTGACTATCTACCTGCACCGCTACCGCGAGATGGAAGGCGACCGTGGGTCCCTGAGGGGCGAGCCCTTCATGAAGAGGGCGGTCGACTACGGCAACTTGGGCGTTCCCGCTGCTTTCACACGGGGATTCCCAATGGCTGGCCCAGCCGGCCCCCACCCTGCTTACTTTGGAGCTCCGCCAATGGGCGGGTACTTCAAAGATGGGAATACTGGCCATGAGGGCTCTTCAAGTGGGGCTGTTGGAAATGGTGAGGCCCATGGCCAATTTGAATGATGCATCATGTTATCTTGACTGTAGGAGGACAGTAACCCAGCTCTTTTCCTTCTTGTTTTTCTTTTCAATGAAAGAAAGGTAACCTAGCTTGTTAACGATGGAGGTTGGAGTCTATTGGAACTGAGTTTGGACTGCAGATCATGGAAATAAAACAGTAACTTCTTGGCATTTTTTTGACTTCACTTGAAGAACAAGAACAAGAACACTTGTTTTCTTTTCCGGAGTTTAACATCTTATTTCCAAAGCACTTGCGTTTGTTAATTGAGCTTGCTAAGTTAGCAATTACACTGCTTATTTTCATATCAAACCCTTTTTCTTATAACTCATTCCACTCTATGGTCAGATGAAAAGGTGACCATGTCATGTATTCATCAAGGGCATAAATGCAAAAGAAGAAATCCTATTCCAAAAGTAGCATTTGCTGTGATCATCTAGAAAAAGGCATATTAGAAGCCAGCATGCATTTAGAGAACCCACTGATGATAACTAAAGGTTATATCTCCTCAAAGCCTCAAATCAGAAACAGATCCCTTGGATACCGACAGAATACAAAAATGCTAAGCCAGATGATCATCAATGAACTTGTGATGTTGGCCTTCCCAATTCACAATTCGAATGGGATGTAAGGAAAGTAAACAAATATGAGTTACCGCGATCTATAGGTCAGTTAAGAGGAGGAACTTCGACGCACTCCTTGTTACTCTCAGACTGATTGTCCTCTACATTTTCTTCCTCCTCAGCTGCGCCTTGAGATTCAACTGAATCCGCTTCACATCGTTTTCTCTGAGGAATCACATGAAAGAAGGATTCCTTCCAATCCTTCGTCTCCAAGAACTTGAGGATTATCTCCACGACTTGGTTCACAGTAAGGACCTGTAATCAAGAAATAAGACATTCTACTCTTAGACTTGCAACAACAAGTGCTGAAAGGATAAAGCATTGGAATCTTACAGAATTGTCAATGAACAAAATTTCACTAAACTTTAACGTTTGTAAAGACAGAAAACACCCGATCCCCGATTTCAAAAGCACAGTGCGGATGTATAACGACAATTCTATTCCAAAATTTAGATCACACCAGTTCGCAAAAAGAATCATACATCAGGGCCTAAGGCTTAACAAGAAAAGGGAGAGAATCCAGCTAAAACAAGTATGCAGATAATACTAATCTAGGGTCTCTGAACACAGTAGAAGGTAGAAACAATCACCACCTTCTTTGGCACAAAGTCCAGCGACGATTAATTTAAACAGCACAATAGCATTATGAATTGCCACAGTACTTTGCATTCAAATGTAGACTCCTACTCAGATTCATCGTGTGTATTAGCAGAAGCTCCACCATGGAGCAATAACTGAGCTCAATAGACATGCTCTCAGCTCAAAAGTTATCTAACATACCGACCCACGATTCCAAAATACAATTCAGATTAGCAAGAGAAAGGATATTTTGTACCTGAGAGCTCGACATCTTCAAGTAATTCCCAATAGGCAATTTCGCAGTCTGTATCCCCTGCTCCTCTGCTTTCTTCATGGTCAACCCTTTCCACCTGTTGCGATCCACCAACCCACCAATGATGTAAATCCTCTTCTCATCGAGCACATCGAGCACGTTCTCCGAGTCTGCCGTCAGGTACACCAGATTCTCCTTCTGATCCTGCAATGCCTCGACATAAGATCGGTCTTCCTTCTCGACGATCCACTTATCGAATCCCGGTATCCTCCGCAACTGGCTCCCCATTTCTCCGCCGCATCCAGTCAGCCATAAGTGACAGGGACACGTGCATCTCCCGTTCACCGCATAGCAGTACATAATCTGCACGACTCTATCGATGCAATCAATAACAATGCAAAAGCTTTACCAATGAGAAGCTAACAGATCGATATAAATCACAGCCGCGAACCAAACCGAACCGATACAAACAACTTTCTAATTACTCTTCCAATTCATTTCTGGCATTCACCTTCAATTAGACTGACTAGAATCCGAATCTGCTTACAAAATGGACGGGCAAACGCATCACGAAACAGAAGCATCTCATTCACAGCATCACTTCATGTGTCAATTCCATCTTTCAGTTCTATGTGACCTCGTAATCAAGAAATGAAGCCGACCCACCAAATGGGTTCCATTCACTCGACCCACCAAATGGGTTCCATTCACAAGGCAAAAAGATCGGATCTTGGACGAACCCATTCACGAATTTTACCTGCTGGCAGAGGCTGTTGATCTCGTTAGCCGACATGAGGTGCGCGAACTCGAGGTCGATCACGACCTTCTGCCCGCACTCCCGCGCGCCCTCGAGCCGCCGGAGCTTCCGCCCGCGCTCCTCCGACCGCTGCTCCATCCGCTCCCGCCGGAGCTCCCTCCGCGACTCGATCAGCCTCGAGCGCTCCTCCTCGGTCGCGCCGTCGAGGGCCTCCTGCCATTCCGCGCGCCGCCGCTCGGCTTCTCGCTTCTTGTGCTCCTTCAGCTGCGCCTTCTTCTCGGCCTTCTTCGCCTCGAACCGCTGCTGCTTCAGGAGCCTCTTCTGGGCGTTCTTGGAGAGCGGCGGCGGCTGCTGCTGGTGGTGTTCTGGGGCGCTGGGAGGTGGCGCGAGGGTGGTGGGTTGGGCTGGAGGGAGAGCTGCCATTTAGCTTCGTGGTTCGACCGTGGACGAGGAGCTCTTCTTCCGGGTCGGATCGAGGGGGTTTAGGGCTTTGTCGCGAGGACAAAACTGCCCCTCTCTCTCTCTTTCTCTCCCTCAAAAGTGATTCCGTTAATATCGTTAAAAATCTCAAATCGATATATATAACTAACATCCCAATCCAAATTTTACCCTACGTAGATGCGCATATGTATCAACCCACGTGGATTTTCCTCTTACTCTTTATGTCAGATCCGTCTTGCAGTCATCCGTCGCATGGGGCGACACATAGAGGGGATATTAGTTTGAAGTAAATGTGCTGTGAGCTACCAATTTGTGTCACCGGATGTTAGTTTGTGTCTTGGGTACTGGTTTGTGATTTTTAATGGTATTAACCCTCTGAAATTAAAGTTTGAACTAGTGTCCGGAGATTGTCGATGATAAATTTTTTGGGTATGAGATCTTAGTAATTATCCCTTAAATTTTTTTCTCAAATTCCTCTTTCTCTCTCTCACAAACACAAATTGGGGATAATCATAAAAAAAATAGTCTTAAACTTATTGTACGAATGTCAATTCGGTCATAAACATTTTAATTTGGCCAATTTAATCCTACACCTTCTGATAATTTGTCAATGTAATCATTCTAATCAATTTTGGCAAGAAATGGTTGATGTAGGAGCCGGTCATCCTACATGGCGCGTTCGGCGCTAACATGAACAATATTTGTAATTTTTTATAATTTTTCTAAATTTTTTTCTGCTCTTTTCTTTCTTTCTCATTTTACTTTGGGCCAGCAACCCTTGCCGGCACTTGGTGAGGGAGTCCCAACCCTCGCCTGAAGCCCTCGCCTGTGGCTAGCGACCTTTGCGGCCACTGTAGAGCCCGCAAAACCAGTAGAGGCCAATAAGAAAAAAAGAAAAAAGAAGAAGGAAAAAAATAAAAAAAATAAGATAAAAAATATTGAACCTGTCAGCACCGATCATGCCACTCGGTGTTTTCTGGTTAAAATTGGCTGGAAAAAGATACATTGACAAATCGCCAAAAGGTTTAAGACTGAATTGACCAAATTGAAATATTTAACATTGAATTGACATCCGTACAGTAAATTTATGACTTTTTAAATAATTTTCCCCGCAAATTATTGCCTCGATTGAAATTGGAGCTTCTAGTTCCTCAGGAAATGTCTAGATGTTTAAGGATATCAGAAGGGCTCGCAATTCGCATTCACGTGATAAAATTCTTGTTTGCTACCTCTCAAGGGAATGTGCCGGAAATGTTGGATCCCATTTTTTTTTTTTTTTGGTCTGTAATGTTGGATCCTATTGACGGTGGAGCTTCTTGATTATTGCCATTTGGACCTCTCGAGTCTTCTTGACATACTAGAGTATTGCTGAGTTTCACTCTCATAGAGTTATAGACTGATCATATGACCAAATACTGTGCTAAGAAGAACAAAAGGAGAGTAAAAGGCCATCTCTTTATCCTTCTGATGTAATGTAAACAAGCTTTGAATTTGAAGCATGTAGAACAATGCAAAGCTACGCTAGATTGTCATCAACTTTCCCCTCAACTAGTACCTTCCCTTTCTCCTATTTAAAATATGTAAAGGCCACTACTCATCTTAGCTTTAACACTTTGTTTTCTTCCACAATGGAAAAAGGACCCAAATGGTCATGCAAAAACAGGGCATCCGGTGACGTTGATGCCGGGTTCGGTCGGGCACGACGCCAGGGGACAATGGTCGAGCTCCGACCCCCACCACTTGAGGTTCTTGCCCTCGTTCTGCAGGGCGAAGAACAAGAGCACGGCCATGAACGCCGTCCCGGCATCTAGCGCCGCAGACAGGACGTAGTTGTACTTCTGCCACCACCGCTTGTAGTACTTGAATATGAAGTAGTTGAAGATCATCCCCGTGATGAGCCAGCTCGCGATGTTGGTGGGCGTGGCGGGAGGCATCCCGGCGAAACCGTAGGATATGACAGGAATGTTTATCAGCGCGATCCATTTCTTCTCGGGGAAGATCTTGCTCAGCACCCAGATGGGCACGGGCAACACGGCTCCGATGAGGAACAGCCACACCAGGTTCCTGTATAAACCTCCAGGGCCAAAAAGACGTCTCGGGCCTATCAGCCCCCATATGACGGATGCGTCGAAGGTGACTCGGTACTTCGGGCAGGTCCACGGGCTGTCGGGGTGGGTCCCTTCGACGTCGCAGATGTCGTCGATGGTCTCCAGCATCCACCATGCCACCGCGAGGTTGACTAGAGCGGCGACGACGGTCCCCACAAGCTATAATGAACACAATAAAGAAGCAAATACAATTGTGGCACTTTAGTATGCTTCAACAAAACTAATCCGCAGATAAAGAAAATGTTTGGTAATCAGATGCATAGGTTCGAGGTTTGTGTACAGACCTGAGCTACGTACATACAGCGCGGAGGAATTTTCATGTACTGCCCGAGTTTGAGGTCAGACAAGAATGAGAGAGCGTGGACCGTGCTGATCCTCCCGTACATTTTGAAAAGCAAGTTCGCAATCGGTTTTCCCGGTAAAACATATCCTATGATGAACTGCGCTATAATGTCGTATCCGGGTTGCTGCGAAGTAGCCATGAAGAAAGATCAATATAGACGAACCAGTCTTTTGTGTCGACGACGTCATTATAAATCCAAAGATAGAGAATTTAACCTGATTGGTAGTCGCTTGAATGACCCCGATCGGGAGAGTGACGATCCAGGCCAAGCCGATGGCAAAAAGCATCCCCCACCACGGGAGTTGCACGTCTTCTTTCCAAATCAAGGACATCATCAAAGACACAACGGTGCTCCCAACCAATAAAATGAGGAACCACCATTGAGGCACCTGTTTGTAACTTCTCATGAGCTTCGCGTGGATGTCCAATTTTGCGTTCGTCATCGCCGCTCGACTCTGCCTTAGAATGTCTCTGCACAGTTAAAGCAATTAGGAAGAAGACCGTCAGTCAAGTACACTATGTTGTTTTTCAAGAGCTGTGGGAATGGATTCATGTTTCTTCACCTTCCGTGAAAGAGTGCCACATGAGTGAGCGTGGCCGTGAACCTTGCGAATCCCGATCCTATTGAGAGAGCAAACAGAGGGCTCAAATAGAGCTTGCCGTAATCATTGTACGCGGCAACATCGAGATCGAACTGCGATGTCAATATCTTGGTGGTGTCATACTTGTGCCCATTGGACCTGAACAACTGATTGGAGAAGATGGGGAACTTGTGAGCGTCGAAGGTGTTGTACTTCCAGTAACACAGGGGGACGATTATGTATATGAACATGATGAAGCCGACCCCCACGTTCACTATGGAGGACCAGGGTGTCACGAGCGGGCTGCCGTGGTACGCCGAGATACCCGCCCAATCGAACGTGAAGGCCCCGACGCCGAGCCCATGGTAAGCCGATCCGACTTGCTGGGCGGTTATGCTGTGCGGCCAAGCCCAGCACACCCACGAGAAGAACGTCAAGATCGTGAAGAGGTATCCGGGGAGCGCATAATAGGCAAAGCTTGCAGCCATTGCAAATAAAAAGAATCGCATTCGAGTACACCCTTTCGTTCTATGCTCCTTTTCATGAAGTGCTCTGCAACACAGACAGAAAAATTTATCGTTCAGCATCAGAATCATCCTCTTAAAAAACATACAAGGCGTTCACTTCAAGCTTTGTCTTCAAATTCTTTTTGCATCCATCGTCACAGATTCACAAGCAGAAATAAAATAAGAGCAGTTTAGTCCCGCTTGAACATAATTTTACGCTACTATTGGTGATATAATTGGAAACATTGAACAAGGCAGGTCCACCGTCAATGGCAGGTGAACATTAGGAATTTCTCCGGCACGACACCCAGAAAAAGATTGAAGCAGTCCATGACTTTTCAAATCTTATCTATATATATTAAGCACAGACCGAGCAAGACCGCATCGATTTCATTCCTTCGCATCAAGCTAAGCTATAGATTGTCGCTCGCAGATGCCAAATTCGCAATCTTTTGCATCAAGACTCCGTTCTACCAAGAAAAAACCTTTTCCATCATGGTGAAGAATAAAATATAATTGGCATCTTGACTTAGCTAAAAGTGAAAAGCGCGTTTGCAAGATGACGAGCTTGTCTTGGACCATCATTATAAAGGAAAGAGCGCACAACTTTCTCCTGGTTTCACGGGTTTGTTTAAGTGGGAGGCTTCTGTTGATTCGTCTGCATGCAAATCAAGAGCACGACATCTACAGCAAACTGAACAGCAACGAAAAGAGCACAATCCAAAAGTTGTTCTGGGAAAAAGCAGATAAAAAAAGAAGACCTAAAAAGCTCAAAGCATGCAGAGAAAGAGAGAGAGAGAGAGAGACCTGAACAGAGAAACCTGAGCAACATTTGAAGGCCACCACATCTCAACAGGGTCTACCAGGTACTTCCTGAGCATCCCAGCCCAGCCATAACCCAGTATCTGAATTGCAAGAAGAAGAACAAATTAACATTTCAAATAGCTAGGATGTTCATTTACAGCTAAAAAATCGAATTCCTACTAGCCTTCAGCTTGCAAAAAATTTTACAGCTAAAAAAAAAAGGCTTCTTTTTTCTTTTTGCTTCTTTAGCTGTTCATTGAGTTGTTCAATTTCCTCTTACAAAGTGGTTCAGCCATTTCCAAGTGTTTCAGAATCTGACGAAACAAGAGGGTTCATTCAGAAAAGGACCACAAGTTACTGATGGGTCGTGATCACCACACATAGGCAATCAAGAACCTACTTCACAAATAATCAAGACCTTCTAAAAGTCCACAAAAGCTTCAGAACTCAACCTTTCTTCTCTCTGCTGCTAAAATTCTCAGGGATGACACGGTGAAAATAAACTCAAACCCAAAATAGAAAGAAAGAAAGGAAGGAAGGAAGGAAGAAAGGAAAATTTTCACCTTCCTGGCCTCCTCTAGTCTTGTAAAATGGCACGGCACTAACAATTAAGGCAAGCAAGCAAGCAAACGAACAAGGCACGCGAAAAAAGACCAAATTTTTAACAGACCCAGAAAGCGAAAATCACACTCAAAGAAGGGAAAAAGGAAATGATCCAGACCTGGGTAGTGAGAACAATGAGGAAGCCACAGAGAAAGCTCAGGTTCTGCTTGTAGTAAGTCTTCATGACGGTGATCGCCCCAATGGAGTAGGCGTCGCCGCCGCCGGTGCTCACCCCGCAGTTGGCGAAAATGGTGATGATCACGTGCTCCTTGATGTTGAACGGCCCGGGGTTGAGGCTGAACCTGTAGCCCAGGAGCCGGTACTCCCTCGCCGGCAGGGCCCTGGCCATGAACCTGCCGAGGGGCAGGGCGGCGATCTGCATGAGGATGGCGGAGATGATCAGGGGCTGCGTGCGGTAGCTGAAGAAGGTGTTGAGGAAGATGAGGACGACGCAGGAGGCCAGGCCGAGGGACCAGGCGCGGAAGGTCATGACGGGGAGGGTAGGGTCGTCGGTCTCCGGCACCACCAGCGCCACCTCCTCCACGGGGCACCGCTCCTCGGGGAGGCCGTCGGCGCCGTTCTGCTTCTCGGCGTCGGCGGCGGCGGCGGCGGCGGCGTCGTGGTGGTGGTGGTCCTTGTTCGCCATCGAAGGCGGTCACTAGTCAGCCAAGAAGAAGACGAAGACGACAGGAGACTTTGGTCTAGTGAGAAACAGCGAATGTAGTTGACGTTTCGTACATAGGGCGCACTTATTTATACACAAGAGGAGCGACGGGGCGATTTTGTATTTTTAGGAAATGACGATACCGATTCTCCATTAGTGTATATCTCTTTTCGACCTTCCATTAGTTGTCGTTGGCTTTTTACATCTCCCTCCCTCCCTTCGTTGTCCGGGTGATGAAACCGCTGACGTGAGCGCGGGGCGCCGGTCCATTTGGCCGCGATACCCTCGTGAAGGTACACGATGTGAGTGATATAACAACCTCAAGCATGGGGGTTAGTATCGGGGTCCGGTTCAGCTCGGGAACCGGATCGAATCGGACCGAGCCGGCTGATTTTAGGGAGAACCCGTCCAGTTCCTAGTTTTGGTAGACCTAGAATCAGTTGGTTCTCGGTTCCAAGGCTGCAACTGCCGGTCCCAACGGAGAACCAGCTCCTTGGTTGAACTGGCTTTATAGAGAAAAAAAAAAACAAACGTTTTCGCGCATATGGAGAATAAAACCATATTCTTCGACATGAAGAAAATAACAATACAATTACTTAATCAATATGTGGTTTTTGTAGTTAAATGATACAATGTTTATATTTGATTTTAAGGTTAATACCATGAAAACCCCAAACCGATGTACCTGTGTTGTGACAAACTAAATTTTTTATCACCAAAAACCCCCCGACCGGTACGCCTATGACAAATTTACCCTAAACTAACGAAAAATCCTAAACTGGTACATTTATGACAAATTTACTCTCTGTTCAAATGGAATTAATATCACGAAAAATCATAAATTGGTACACCTTAAAACTCCCAAATCGATACACCTGTTAACTGCCAAATGTCATCTAATTTAGAAATTTGACGATAAAATTTAACGAAAATCAACGAAAGGTATATGAACAAAACAAAAATTGGACGGGGGAGTCATGGTCACCAGAAAATCGATCGGGAACCGATCCACTCATCCCGAGAACCGATCGCCCCTACTCAAAGTATCCAATCGTGACTCGATAACGCATTATATGCTCAAAAGTTACCATAATGTAATCGTGACTCGATAACCCTCGACCGGTACGCCTATGACAAATTTACCCTAAACTAATCAAAAATCCTAAATTAGTACATTTATGATAAATTTACTCTTTGTTCAAATGAGATTAATATCACGAAAAATCATAAATTGGTACACCTTAAAACTCCCAAATCGATACACCTGTTAACTGCCAAATGTCATCTAATTTAGAAATTTGACGATAAAATTTAACGAAAATCAACGAAAGGTATATGAACAAAACAAAAATTGGACGGGAGAGTCAAGGTCACCAGAAAATTCAATCGGGATCCGATCCACCTGTCCCGAGAACCGATCGCCCCTACTCAAAGTATCCCATCGTGACTCGACAACGCATTATGTGCTCAAAAGTTACCGTAATGTGATAATTCGGTCAACGAGAACCTAACCGCGGGCGCGTGAGTGGGGGGACGCGACCTCTTTTCCCCGCGCGTGTGACCCTCGCGTGCTGCTCCGCACCCGACACGCTCTCTCGGCCCACCCCCCACGTGATTTCCTGACCACGTGGGACACCCAGTGTCGGATCCCGCGGGCCCCGCCGCCACGTCGGCCCCTGACGGCCCCGTCCGGCCCGCCGACGCCGTTAACTCCGCCGTGCCGTTTCGCCACGTGGGACTCCGAGCCCGTGCCCGGCCCGAGGAGGCGTCGCGCGCGGACGTGGCGAAGTGGGATCCACGTGGCGAAACGACTGTTGGTTTTTCGTGCGGACATAATAAAAAGGAAAGGGCATATGTTTTAATTATGTTCTTATTGCAGAATGACTACTGCATTGGATGTAGGCAAATGGTTGGTCACTCGAGTATCTCGGAATTTAAATTTGGTAGGTGTCAAAAGGTGCGGTTTTGAGCTCTCTAAGTTTTTAGGGTATTCGCGATTCGGTCTCTCGATTTCTACTTTATGCAATCAGGCCCTCGATCGTTCTTGATTCGCGCGATTTGTATCCCGTGTGAGTTTTATTTCATTCATTCGAGTCCCGTGGCGTTTCTTGATACGTGCAATCAAGGCGTTTCGCTCGCCCATTTTGTAACCGACCTTATCAAATTATGGTTTCTTATTTCTTTCTTTCTTCTTTTTTTTTTTTTTTTGGAGTTTGGTTATCGCTAATCTGGCGTCGCTTCAGAGTCGTGTGACATTTTAATCTCGCGTCGTCGTTTGATGTGATGGTTTAGTAAGAGCAATTGACCGGAGGTTCGAATGCATAAAGCGCAAAAGTTAGAGGGCTTGATTGGACAAAATAAGAGTTAAAAAACCAAATTACATTAATCAAGAAAGTCAGAGTATTTCACGAAACCGCATTAAAGTTAGAAAACCCAACTGCGCAAACACTAAAACTTAGAGATCTAATACCGCATTTAACCCTAAATTACCGATCTGCTCATCGCATGCGGTTTGCATTCCTAGCCAGATGATTAAATAATTACATCTACATTTACACATTCATTCATCATTCTAGTTTCACCCTTTTGCAAATTTCAGTCCGTCAATCAAAAAGAGATTAAGCATGGTTGAGCAACCTAAAAAATTGATTACAATGTAATTTGCCGACATGATCTGTCGTAGCCTGAAAAAATCGTAAGTTATGCTCGGACGAGTCTTGCGTCTCTCCTCTGTGACTTGGTCTTTGATAATTCCTATCGGTCGTATGTTACTCGTATAAGCGAGACATTCCAATCTTCAAGAAATTGCTTCCGGTCTTATACCAAGAGAGCGAAATGGATGGGAAAATGAGAGAAAATCAAGATTGCTTGGTTTCTAATGGTAAAGGGCATGGTTACTCGAGCCGTATTAGGGGTGTGCAAAAACCCAGGACCGCCGGGACCGCTGGGCCGGGCCAGGAACTGGTGGTTCCCGAGGGGCCGGTCAGGTTCCGGTTTCAATTTTGGCGGTGGGTATCGATCCGGTTCAGTTCAGTGTGGAACCGCCCCCATGGACCAGGGCCGGTAATATAATAATAATATATTTATTTTTAAAAATTTTAATTAAAAAATCGACCAAAAAAAAATTAAAAAGAAAAAAGAAAACGTAAGCTAGATACTCATAACTCTCTACTCTCTTATCTGCTGACACTCATTTGATGGTAGTGCCACTTGATTTATGGATGATGTGGTTAATAGAAATGATCATAATATAGGAATTGTATGAAAAGTTATGTTCTTTTCTTTTGTTCAGATTGATCCGATGTTGGTCCATAATAATTTTTGTCAGGAAAACTTAGTGGGGAGGATTCCATGGGCCGTGGAAACCGGACCGTCCGGTTCGGCCCGGTCAATGGAACCGACGGGCGGTCTCGGTCCCAAATTGAGGCCAACATGTTATGCGGGTTGGTCCTAGGGTTAGAAGTGGACCGGCCCAACCCGGACCATGCTCACCCCTAAGCCGTATCATGTGTCAATTTGCTCAAGGCAAGAATTTCCAATCTCTCCCGCAACCCGACCCCATCACAAAGCTGTTTTGGGCGCAAGAGGACGAGTGATATGATCGTGATTTCCCAACCAACGGCGAAATAGGGACAGAAATTGTTAGGGTGCTATCTGAACATTGCCTAATTATCCATGACGTTATTTTTCGTTCGATGGATCGACTAAATTTTCAACCTTAATGTCGTCAGATCCTGCTGGTTTGAGCGGTTAAGGATTACTCTCAAGAACAAAATTCTTGGTTGAGTTTTCAGCTACTCGAGTGTCTTGTCGAACCAAAGGTAAGGTTCATATTCGCCGTACTCGGCTCAACAGACTCGTTAGACTAATCGAGCTCTTATTATTTTCTTTAAAAAACCCGACAACTATAAAATTTGACATGAAAATCGGTACAAAATATATTTACATATATATTATATATACGAGGGTAACATTGGAGCTTTTCGTGATCGAGCTTGAACCCAAATTCGATTCTTTCCATAACTCGATCGAGTCGAGTCCCCAGCGGAAACACCGATGCCTCCAATCGAGCGTTCGAGCGTCCGGCGTCGGTCCGAGCCGAGCTCAAGGCTGGCACACCGTCGGATCGGCCCGGGCTGATTACATTTCACCCTGCAAATTTCCTAAATTTAAAAAAAAAAGAAAAATTTGAGAAATAGGAAAAAAAGAAAGAAAATCAGAAATGAGGAGAAGGTGGGATGGGATGGATTCTCGTTTTTCCTTCCCTTCCCCCCCGTGCCCTACTAGATTAGACTTGCGCGGAGCTGGAAGAAAAACAGGGCCTCCCGCCGGTGGACCCGACGAAAAGATTGACGTGGACGATCGGAAGGCCGCGCGCCGCTCGTTTGCGTCTCGTCGTGGGGCGGGAGAGAGAAGATAGTGGGTGGGGCCGCCGTGGTGGAATCGCCTGTAGCCGAGCCTGGGCCCGGCGTTGACCCTCGTCACCTCTCGTGAAAACCAAACCGAACCAAATCGAACCAATCCCAAAAAGCAATCGGGGTCCTTGTCCTTCCTATCGTTTTGGTTCGCGCAAGTCTCCTCCCGTCCTGGCCTTTTGTCCAAAGCGTTTACTATTTGTGGGATTGGAATTCAAGTACGAATGGTTGAATTTGGCTAATGATAAGGAATGCAAAGTCACGATTAATTACACGCATTTGTCGTGTGGTACCCGTTACGTTTTCGTTGAAAAGTACGCGGTCGATCGATGGATATCGAGCATGTTACGTGCAATATATAGATTCCACGACATTTTTCGATTGAACGCAGTCGGGACGGTCAACCTGAAGGTGACGGGTTTTGATTCCGGATAGATTCTTTGACGTTAGATGGTACGAATACTGTTGAAATGTTTGAATATCTAACCACACCTTTATCTAATAACTTGAACTTTTACAGCAGCTGGCAGTGGTCCCATAAAATTTTACGTCTTATCGGAATAAGAGTATTCGAGTTCAAATCTTTCCGGCTTTAAACATTTAAACATTTGGGAATGATACCACAAAATCTTACACACACGACTACATTAGTGTGC